AAATCCGTCCAGTTTTCTACGGAGCGAAGCCATTTTACGTACTTGAGGACTCGAGACTGTATTTCCCGCATAAACCTGCAGTTTTCAGCACTGATCACTATTGTCTGGAAAGTGTTGAGCAGCAGCAGGAGCAGGAAGATGCTATGGGAACTCTAGCCATTGTGTGTTTGAGTGCTTTGGGTGGACGTTTGGACGCGTATAATGCGTACTGTAGAGATGGAACCCTGTGTGCCCTGAAGTGTTGTCCCGAGGGACAGTGGCTGCAGATTGAAGAACACGAGGTTGGCTGTGCTGCTTTGCCCGAGGGACAGGCTCCTTGGGTGCCTGTCTTCTACGATGATCAGTTCAAGAAGGTCTGTCCTTTTATTTTTCAAGAATTATTTATTGGGAATCATTTCGTAACAACGGAATTACCATCATGGGGATCCTATTTTCCCCATGACATGTATGTTGCTTAAGTTAATGGGTTAGATCATTTTGTTGTTTTTGTGAGAAGTCCATTATCTGAGCATTCTATAAATAAATTAAAATACAGCAGTGGGTCCCACGTAACGAAGCTAAATCATTCCTGGGTGTGTTTCATTTTGAAAAAGTTTCTTAATTCAACAACCATTTTTCCTCAAGGTTTCACTGTAAGTTATTGAAGTAAATTTTTCTAGAAACTCACGAGAAGATCCTCAAAAATTTTCTGCATAATTTTTCAGTCTACTTTCATGGGTTTTAAATTATTTGTGAGGAAATTGAAGTACAGTACAGTGATTCTCACAACTTCCGTATCTTGACTTCGTGAATTACACAAATGATTCGAGACAAGATTATGAAAAAGTATTTCATTTTTTCCTCTTGTTTTCAATGAAATCTAAAGCTTAAATTCTTTATGTTTGTTATACATGATAGCGTTTCAAAGTGAAACTTTGAGTCATGTGAAACAATGTCTCCACATGCCACCTTTTTTCACCTGAAATTTTTAAAATGCTGTTTTTTATAGTGCACTGTGTATTTCCGCAATGTATATTCCGATGTATATGACTGTTACAGGTAGCTGTATCCGAGGACAAGTACAAAGTGGTGGATGTGCCACAAGATTGCGGCAAGACAATGAGTCTGCCCCTGTACCCGGATTCATCTCACGAAGAAGCTGTTTA